CCCCACTATTATGTTTTTAAGAGGCGGGACCTCTGAGTTTAAAGTCCATCTCCGAAAGGACATAGCCAAATGGGAAATTCGTGTTAGATGTCTTTCCCAAGGACACAACGTCGGGCTGAGTCTCGAATCTCCGAACCCGCAATCTCAAGATAACGGGTCCGGTAACCTAACCACACGGCCACCGACGCCACTGTTTCTCCATTCAGTGAGAGCAAGATGTTTAGGGCTTTTTTTGTCTGTTGAAGTATCTCGGAAACTGTTCTTTTCTCTTCCTGTTTTTATTCGTGAGCACTCCCCTGGGGCTTCTTTCAGCACCACCGTGGCCCGTTCGATTACTTTTCCTTCCATAAAAAACCCAAAAGTTTAATAAGAAGACACGTATCTATACTGGGACTTCAAGTTCCTTGTCATTGTTTTTGATAATTGCCAATCATTCACAACCGTTAACCAAAGATGGGCTTTCAAAACTCTTATCTGGCTTTCATCGGAATTTTATTTTTTGTATTTTTTAAGCTTGAGTTCATTTTGTTGAAGATGTCTAATTGTTACTGCAATTCTTCGTTCCATTTCAGCAGTACTTTTGGCAGGTAGTTTAACAATATATCTTAGATATTCAAACTACTTTAACTTGTTTGATCGTTTCACATTCGATTATGTGTTTGGTTTCTTTACATTTTAAAGATAACCCATTACGTTAGTGACGTCGGTATTTTAGTGGTTAGACCACCGAACCTGTAGTCGTGAGATAGCGGGTCCTGGGTTTCGACCGACGTTGTGTCCTTAGGAAAGGCACTTTACGGGAATTACCCATTTGGCGCAGTCCTTTCGTAGATGGGCGTTATACTCGGAGGTCCCGCCTCTTTAATAATCTAATAGTATTGATAGGGGCATTGAACTGATACCATTTCACCATTTCACTAGAGAAATATAGGCTGGTATTTTTGATAACCCCCAAATCAGAGAGCTGGTATTTCTTTCAGGTGAACTCATGAATGCCACACGGAGCAGGACTGATCTGAAGTTTGGCCTGTATCACGTATTGTATGAGTGGCTCCACCCTTTGTATCTGAAGGATAAGGAGTCTGGATTTAAGACGCAAGATTTTGTCAATGTGAGTCCCCTGATCAATTTGTGTGTGCATTTTGGGTAACCTTTTGGTGACTATATTATTATCTTAAATAATTTGGATCTTCAGTGAGTGTCATTGTGTGCATGTTTGAGGGAATGCTTTTGGGTTTTTTTGCCTTCGTTTCTCTGAGTTTTTGACCCGTTGGAATTAAATATGGGTTGTTCTTTATAAAATTGAAAATAAAATATCCCCGCTTGTGAGGATTATGCATTTGAAAACCACCAGTGAAGATATAACTTTTTTTTCAGCTAAAGACAATGCCTGAAATGTATGAGATTGTGGAGACCTACAAGCCTGAGATCTTCTTTTCTGATGGGGACTGGGAAGCTCCAGTTGAGTACTGGAAGTCTTTGGAGTTCTTGGCTTGGCTCTACACCTACAGGTACACTGGGCCTCTTCTATTCATAAACGGAGCGCAACTGCAGTGTGGGCAGTTACATGATTGGCGAACGGAATGGATGGTTCGCAAGTGCTCTGCTGTGGTTTGCTCCTTTGTTCATTTCAAACATCTATCCTTGTCCTCATCTCTCCTTTTTGTGTTTATTTCTCTCTCCTGTCTGGGGAGGGGAAATCCCTTCTACTGGTAACATGTAACCCAGTACAACCTGTTGCTTGGACTGTTTTTTTTAGCATAACAGCATGGGGCGCATACGTCTTTGGTATTAGCGGCCAGGACGGATGAAGCTCACTGAGCCTTAACGGCCACACGCTAAAGAACTTCAGTGTACCACTTCAGTGGCCCTCGCTGTTCTCCACGGTAGAGGTGTGCACTATGATGTATGTCGTATGTAACAGATGAATATCTAATCATTCTTCCCGGCCTCAACTTTGAAGTTGGTGGCAGCAGGTCAGTAGAGGTATGGGCAAGAAACTGACAAAATAATAAAATGAAACTTGCTGGACAATATTTTGAATACAAGATTGGTGACTGCCAATCAGCGTTGAAACCAGTGACCCTGGACGAGAACCTTGGAACCCTTTCACCTGCAGGTCTGCTTGATTAAAGAAATAATACAGACAATGGGCATTTTAATAGGGAAACGAATGATGATGAATTTATGGCCGAAATTAATGAAAATGTGCTACACTTATTAGTCAAGAAGAGCTTAATGACTCGGTCAGAGATCTTTAATCGTCCAAAAAAAAAAAGAGAGAATAAAATAGAATAAAGAAAACAGGCCTGCATTTCCCTTTTCGATGACAACAATAGAATCTCCTTCAAAAAGGTTTTAAAATAACGGTTTCATAGGGTAGAACATATGTGGTAATCACAATATAGCATCTCTACTTCTAGTACTGCACAAGGGATATACCAAACACTTAGTTCTTGTGTCTTTGGAACAGTCAATGTTAATGCAAGCACTCATAGCAGAAGACAATAGTCAGAAATAAGACGCGGAAAATTTTACTATTCAAATACATAATGTAGTCTGTAGTTTCCCGTTCTACTCTTTGGAAACATACCATACCATACCATAGCATAGCATACCATACCTTACCGTACTGTACCCTATTTTGTTTTATTACACCATATCATACCATTGGCAGTTTCAAGATTTTTGTGTTTTATTCAAAACGTACTCTCTTGTTTCTCAGCCCTGTTAAGGACACAGTTATTGTAAACGACAGATGGGGAATTGGCGCTAACTGTACACATGGAGGGTACTACACATGCGGAGACCGCTACAACCCAGGTGAGTTGGTAAAATGATGATAAAGATACTAGCTCACCCAGAGAGGAGAACATTTCTCCAGCGAAATAGAAGAGTTAGAAGAATTAATGGTTAATATGACTTGCGACTTCTGCTGTGGCCGATAAGACCATATCCGGCTAAGAAAAGTTTGGAACAATTTCAAGTTCCACTTCCACTTGTATGTGTATGCAGCTTTCAGGACTCTCCCTTTGTTCTAGCATTTCTTATTTATGAAGTCTCATCTGATTTGCTGTGACTATTTGTCTCCAGCTGGGTCTGTCAGCAGCTAGGCTTTCCCTATAACGTATTTATGTTTAAGTCCTTCAGAAATATATACAAGGTGTCACTTTAGCACTTTCTAGGCATGCCAACCTTTATCAGCAAGATGTTTTCGTTCCAAAACATATTACAGCCCCCCACTTAGTTCCTTCACCTGACCTTCATCAGCAAATCTAGTTTCACTGAGAGCAACAGTATCGAGGTCTTACCTCTGCTGAGCTCCATTGCAATGATTGCTGTCCTTCTGTCAAGATTGGAGTCATTTTCCTGAAGTGTGCTCCAACAACCAATTTTCATCAGTTTTCTTTTATTGTGTCGATCGCATTGAGGCATCCTTACTGACCGTGGTGAACCAGTCCGGGTAGATGAAGTGAGGTTTCTTTAGGGCATCTTTTTCAGCTCCTTCCTTTTGTGGGGTGAGCAGTCCTGTCATAAAGAGGCTGCTCATATACCATATTATGTGCTGCTGGGTCATAACTTCGGCTCAACTCGGTAATGAAACGACCAAAGCCCATGGCCGCTTTACTCTCAGGTTTGTGCTAACAGCTCCCAGCCTATGCAAGCCTGTTGTTCACTAGTCACAGAAGGAATTTGATGGGGATGGACGACAAAGAAAAGGGAAATAATAGACAAAAGCAGATGTTTGACTTGCGTAATGGTTTTATAAAGTGAGAAAGAGAGAGGCTCAAACATCAGACTTACTCTCTCGCCCAGGTACACTGATGGCAAGATAAAGATAAAAGGTGATCAGATTAGTATCTAGGTGCAGTTAAAATCTAGTTTAAAAATGCAAAATTATACGTAAGTCATCGTTTCACTACAGTTATCTTTCAGGTATTTTTACACGGTAGCAGTGTGCAATTTGAAGCATGTCATGTGTAACAGACGAAGTTCTAAGCATTCTTTCTGGCCGCAGCTTTGAAGTTGGCGGCAGCAGGCCAATGGTAAACAGCCAGGGGAGATGGCAATAGACAGTCACACTGGCCTGGCTGCTACGGCGTTGGGCAACCACCGAGTATCGTCTACTTGACCCAGCCCTTCAAACGGTAGGCCTAGTTAGCTGGGACTGCAAGGCTCTGGTAGTACCTCTAGGCTGTTTGCCCTTCAATATGGATGGCATTCTGGCAACCTCCTGCACCTAGATACTGATCTGATCGTCTTTTGTCTTTATCTTGCCGTCAGATTTTACCCAGGCGAGAGAGTGAGTCTGAAGTTTGTAATGCTCTTTCTCACTTTAAACAGAGTTTCGCGCATGTCAAACATCTTTTTTACCATTGAAACAATATCATCCAAACTGTACACAGCGGGTGGTATCAGTTTGTCTTAACTAGATCTATATCATATTTTTCACATTTGAGACAAGACTAAAACAACTTGTCTTCATAAATTTAAATGTAATACCATAAATCTACGTCACGCCGAAAATGGAATTGTTCACAGCACTTCCCGCTTGTCACACACATTTTGCGTACACGTATGGCCTACGTCACAGCTCCCCTTTACATTGAGTAATGAACACTTTTTTGCCCTAAAGGTTCTCAAAACATAGTTCGATAAACGTAATCTTGCGATTAGAAATAAAAATGACGGACTTGCTTTTAAAAGAGATAATTGATAATGTCCCAGCTGTAAAGCTTTAAAAATCTGTAGAGAGTACCCACTGGGATTTTTTTTATTAGCATTTATTAAGGAATTTTTAAAGAATAAAAGTAACATGTGTTCTAAAAAATATTGATCTGTTCAGACAAATTGATACAAGGCACTGTGGAAAAGCTGGAGAGCTTTATGTTCGATATTTGAGGAGATATTTGACAATAAGTTGCGCCACAAATTTTGACCGCACTATACATAACTTTTATCTTAGAAATACCATTTAGATAAGTATTGCTATACTTACAGGTGTCCTTCAGAAACATAAATGGGAGAACGCAATGACCATCGACAAAAGATCGTGGGGTTTCAGACGAAATGCTCCCTTGGCCGATTATCTGAGCATTGAGGAACTGCTGCAGACATTCGTTATTACTATTAGGTAGGTTTTAATACAGCCTCTAACAATGTCTAACAGGATACCCCAGCGTCTGTCTCCCTGGACACTGAGATTGTCATTTGGAATGGTTGGGGTGAAGTGGGGTGGGGTGGGAGGGATTGGGGGCGCGTTTAATTAAGTTGCCTGAACCTTCATGTTTGATTTGATTTATACAAGACTGTTCACAGGTATTGGGTTTTTATTCTTTTTTGTTTTAACTGAGTTAAGTTCAGACAGTCTTATCGTATCTTATAGGCTACTTACCGTCTGTTTCCAGGAAGATTAAGATGAAATTGAAATAT